GACCCCTGGGGTGTGCATCCTAGCGACTGGTAGACTGTAGACCTCCTCCCCATGGACGGCCCACATGTCCATTGATGACGCCGACCTGTCGAGTTCGGACCAGGTCTTGTCTTCGCCGTCGCCGTCGCTGTCGTCGTCATCATCTTCGTCGTCGTCGTCATCATCATCTTGCCGCTTCCCGGCCTCGTCTTCGGCCATCCCGAGCACCGCCACCTTCAGCTCGTCGTCCGGCTCGGCCGACTCTTCTTCCGCCCTCCTGAAGACGGCGTAGTGTCGTCCGTGGGCTGCGTTTGGCCCCCTCTCGGACTCGCCCGGCAACTTTACCGGCACACCCGCAAAGCCGCTGGTCATCAGAGGCGGCCATGTTGGCGTCGGCAGCAACGGCTCATCCAAACCCGACATTCGGCCGTGTTGGGAGGCCAGAACCAGAAGGAACAACAACGACAAACCGTAGAGCATCTGAAGACTGCCCAAGATGATGGCCGCACCGTGGAAGACGCATCTCGGCTCTGCGGCGACCAGTTCCGCCGAGGAGCCTGCGCAACTCGAGGAGAGCAGAGGGATTTTGTACCAGGCCATGCTGGTCGGCCCGACTGATGGATTGTGAGAAACTAGAGACAGCGGGAAATGCAAGTAACCAGGTGACACGATGAACATAAACATCAAGACAAGCTGATACAATTGCTCTCTCTCTCCCTAGCTCCTTGTCTGATTGTCTCTTTATACGCACACAAATACACACACACACACACACACACTCACACGCATGTGCACATGTACGGACATTGTGCATAAATAAACATCTAAGCGTAAATACTGATGGGCCCAACCAGTGGATTAGATAATTACAACATAGAGACAAGATGGGTGAAGTTCCAAGATCAGGAACCGGCCTGATGCTCGAAGCCTCGTCCGCCTTTACTCGGATCGAACTTAGGCGCTGGCCCCAAGGCACCGCTAGTCAGACGTCATGGCAGCCAACTCGGCCAGTCTAGAAGCCAACGGCCAAGGTCTGTTTGCTTAAGCTCCCTTCTGTTCTCTTTTCCAGCCCTTGTCAGCACGGGGTCCTCGAGTCAGCGTTGCTACGCTATTAAGTCATACTTTACAGACCGCAAAGCTTGAATAGGACCAACAAGTTAGGGGGAGGCGAGGAAATTTGATTTCACTCGCCCCTCGACTGGCTGGAGCGCGAACCAATTCCACTGCTTCAGCGGCAGAAGCAATTCCAAGAGTGCTAGATGAGACTGTACAACACCAGAAGGCCAGATTCGCTAGCTCCTTGGTATTGGTAGGACGCATTGAGTCACGGACATGCCGCCCAAATTATCATATGCATATCTGTCAAATCAATTCACCCTTCCCAGGATACTTTGTGCGTGTTACCTATTAAATTATATATATATATATTGAAGATATGACGACCAAGATGGTGTAGCCCTTTGTATAGTAGTGGTCATGTTTCGTAGTATCGAAGTTGTTTAACCTTGTGTTCGTAATTTGGTCATGTTGGTAGAAAGAATTAGAAGAACGCACCTATTCCGGAGTCCATAATGCATCGTACAAGGTGCGCTCCTCTACTTCTTCCTACTAATATAACCAAGTTCCGAAAACAAGGTCAAACAACTACTATATATATATATATATATTACTCACTATTTAGCTAGTAATGCGATATTTAAAAAAAGCCTATTTATTGTCGCGCTTAATGGCAAACGCTTGGTTAGTTTTAGCTACTGAATTCTCCAGTAGCGAGGCGAGTTGGGAGGAGTTTGATTTGTAGAAAAACTGAATCTCGAAGGCTCCGTTAAATGAGTGATGCTGCCATTTGGCGCGGCGATCAAAAGGGCCTCGTAGACTGGCCTCGCTGAAAGCCGAAAGAGGACTTTTGCCTTGAAGTTGTGACTGTAGGCCTGTGAAAATAGGTCCTCAACGCGTTGTCTTGCCTTTGTGCTTGGTGAATCTAGGTAAAGCATCGTCTTTGGTTCTACCGATGTCTACAACGGTGGGATAGCAGAAAGCTCAGTATGGATGTGTCGAGGCCGCGGGAGGTAAGCCGAGGATTTATTCGCAAAATTCTACCCTCAAAACTCCACGGTACCCCTCCTTCCGCTTCTGATGGGGCCAATTCATGAATCCTCTCCAATTGCCTCGTCAAACAAACTGAAAGGTACGCCAGCTTCAGATGCTTAATTTTCCTTCGTAGTTTTGCTTGTTGAGTAACCTTTGGGCACTCGGAGAATTGACTTCCCCTCACGAACTCTAAAGGTAGTTGACACAATACAGTTTTTTTATATTTGGTGCCCATTCAGTATGGCATCGTATGCAAATGGAATCGACTTTTTCTGACGAGCTCAGTAGGAATTTGAACTAAAAAACTGACTAAAATTTGGTACATATAAATCAACTTGTTTCTCCTCAAACTCAATTTAATGAAGAGTTATCACGTAGACCTTCACTTTCACAACTCACTCTCCTTCCTCTTGTTAGCCTGTCCCGATCACGAGCTCAAAATGGCTGGGGTTCTCTCGCCTGGTACATAATGCAGTTGCCACCTTAGCCGAACATGCATCCAGTTGTAGGAGATGATGAGACGATGGCTGCGGTCCAGTCAGTAGTAAGCATGCCTTAAGTGAGGTACAGCTGATTGAAAGTAATTGCAAAACCAAGTCTTTTTTCCAATTCCAAGTTGGCTGATTCAACGCCAGTCAAACGAAACCCTGCGAATCTATAAGACCTCAGGAGTGGTTGGAGCAATTCCGGGTCCGGAGGATGTCCGCGCCCTTAGAGACCAATCTTGCAGCGTGT